CTAGCAAAGAATACGTATATCATCAATTCCCCTTATTTCGCGACTACCATAGACTGCTTAGCGTTGCGGATTTACAGTAGTCGAGGATACTGTATATATAGTCTATTATATATACAGTATATATTTTTTTCTAGAATTACTTTTTTACACTATCTCAACACTGTGCTGGGTCCCTGTGCTGTATACCTCTACTGCTCTCACCGATTCTCATAAGAATTGTGAAATTGGAGCAATAAAAATGAAAAAAGTAAATCTTTGTTATTCATTCAATGTTCAGTGATTTTAAACAGTTGAAACATTAAACAATACGTATGTAAAATGGTTTGAACATGAAATGCAAATTTTTTATCCACGGACTTCCGAAACACTCAACCCTATTTGTATTTTTTTTCACTACGTAATATACGCTACTTCCAGCATATTGCATAAAACGTTGAGACTTTCAAGAAAAATATAACCATATTCATTTCTTAAAACTTAATTTTCAATATTGGTTATTACTTTTCATGAAATAATCAAATTATTACTGGTAAACCGTAGGGAATCTGTTTTCAAAATTATCTGAAATTAAAGTAACAAAACGCAGCCTTAGAAAGATAACTTTTATTAAAAAACATCAACTTTAACTTTATTTATTATTTATGATTACATTTATGCAGAAACTGATTTGAATAACATAACGGTTCCCCCTAACCCGTCGCACGGGCCTTTCCCGTGCCCGGACTCGAAGTAGTTCCAACGAGCGGAGCAGCCATAAAGATGAGAATGATTTGCCACAGTATCGAAAATTAATTTATTCCTATACTGTGACGTTGGACTATCAGTCCAATAATGACACACCTGTACTTTGGGAACAAAGCTTTTCACCTCTTTAATTATAACATCAAGGAATGCGAGGACTGTGTGAGCATTGTGCATTGTCGTGTCAGATACCATCACTATACTTTTGTGACACAAAATATTGTTTTCCGTGTAATATATTACCACAGGATGTAGTGTAACGCCCGTTTGGTTAAAATACGCTGACTGTATCTCTTCAGAACTCCTACAAGCATAATTCTCCGCAAAATCCATATGAATGATTACGTGATTTTCAGGCAGAGTTTGTTTGAGGAGTCTTATTTGTGCGTACTGTGTTTTCACACGGCTTACATGCTCTGCAAATTCTTGTTTCTGACTCTCTAAATAATTCAAAAACTCATCTTTTCTCATCTCATTGTCAATTACCCTCATAACCATTTTCTTTTTACCCCTGTCCTCTACCTCAACACGTTTCCATTGGGGGACTTTAATAGTATCTTTTAGATTGTTAGAGATAGTTGTTCGATCTAATTCCGACTTAACAAAAACATCTGGGTTGATAGATACAGACAATCCTTCCTTCTTTAGTGTCTTGGCTGTCAGCGCCATATTTTGATGCTTAGTGCATAAGCAACTACTACGGGATATAAACGCAGATAATTGAATATTTTTCGGCCTGACTCTGCAAAATGTAGCAAATGAAACGAAACAATTAGGATTTTCTGCCAAGAATTTTTGGTGCAAATTCTGGAGATAATCGGTTAAAACCCTGGTTTGTCTCACTTCACCACCCTCGCATTTCACTGTATCGGCCTTGCCAGGTTGAATTCTGCTATTGTCATCGCGCTCTAGAAATTCAATAATAAGTCTCTCGTACTTTCTAGTGGGTTTTGCTTTTTCTTTTTCTGTTGTCCTGCCCGTGTATTTTGACATTGTATTAATGTTTAATCCAGTCTTCTTACAAAATATAGAGTGAGCTCTGTATTTCCTTATTATCTGGCCAGCTACAGCCATGTGTAGCCCCTTCATCGTAGACTTACTGTGACTTTCTTTTTTGTTACGTAATTGCTCACCTACAATATTACCAAAAAGGATTTCTCGTCTTACTGTGTTCTTCTGTATTTCTGTTAAACCAGCTGTATTCATGACATTTTCAGATTTGCTTTTTGGTGTTCTTGGAGAGCCATTTAGTCGTTTAACTAACCGTTGTCTTCTGCGCTGTTCTGTTTTCAACTTTCTAGCAAGGTCAATATTATTTCTTTTTAATTCTTGAATGGTTTTATTTGCTCTTGTAAGTTCCTTTTTCATTCGTTTTCTGGGACCAAATGCTCTATTAGGAAAGTTCATAGCTACTACAAGATTATGATTGTCATTCACACTTTCATAACCACTTGAATCCAACGTGTCGTAACCTGGGGATCTGTTTGCTTGTACGATTGCCTGCTTTCTTCTATCGCGACATCTTTTGACTGCTTCACGTGTTTTGCGGCGCCTTTCAACCCTCTCAGCATTTGTTAACATGTCTGATGGTGTATAATTTTTGCGTCTCCTTGCACGTTCTTTTCGTAAGTATCCATCATTGTCTTTTTCTTTTAAACGTCTGCGGTAGTCTTTACAAATTTCAGATCTTGATTTCACCATAGTTACCTAAAAAAAAGAGAAAACAATACAATAAATGGTGTAATGATCGATACTTTGTAGGGTAATGTTCGATACCTAATAGCGTAATGTCCGATATGCAACATTGTAAATAATATTAAAGTTAACATTAATTATCTTCGAAGCAAATATTTTTCAATGTATCTAATACTATTTTCAATTGAAATTATTGAAATTATTATATCATTTTTGGTGTTAATACGAATTAATGTTTGGATTCATCATCTAGATATTTTGCATATTCTATATATGAGAAAATCATCTAAAAATCTATTTAATAGTATCAAAATAATCAATATTTGCTAAACTTTAGAGGACAACATATTAATATGTATTTTCCGTACAAAAACAATTGGCAGAAATACGTTAAACAAGAAAATATATCAAAGTTTGCAAACGGTAAAATTCTGTAATGTTCGATACCAAATGTAGCGAACATTACCTTCATTTTTTTTAAAGACATATATCAAAACTTATATGATTTCAGATATAAATCCATCCGTTAAAGTTCTCTTTTTTAATAAAACTAAATTCAAACATATATTAGACAAAACTAAGTATTTTTTAAAAACTTTAAAATTACTCACCAGATTCCAAAGTTTTTTTTTCTTTTCCGAATAAAAGCGTGGCTTCCAGTGCACTCCAGCGAGATACAAAACATTGATGATGTCACTTTGATTGCGTCACACGCAAAATGACATATTCACATGAGGATTAATTGGATATTGAGAGTACTTAACTGATGTTGTATAATTATCGTATTGAACATTACAATCTCGAACATTACAGACATTTATATTTATAGATACATGGACAAAGATTTTAGAGAAAATTCTTTAGATATATATTGTAATTACTCCGTCTGTTTGTTGTTTGATAACTTAATTAATTAAATACGTACAAAGTTTTCAGAAAATAAACAGATTTAGGTAGCGGACATTACATTCTTAAGTCATCACTATGCAGTGGTTATCATATATCCCAGCAAAATTTAAAATGCTATGTTTGCTAAAAGAAAGGTAAGTTGAATTGAAAATACTTTTGATTTTTGATCCTTAATCTATAAAAATAACTCAAATTAAGCAAATATTTTCACTAGCATATCGTTAGTAAAATACGGGTCGCGGACATTACGGTAGCCTGCAAGTTTCGGCGACAATTATTAAACTGCTGCATGTATCATATTTACCATTAAAACGGTTTGTACAGATTTAGAGCTAAAAAAGCTGACATACAGGAATATATATGAACAATAAAACTGGACAAAATCATCATCGGCATTTAATGAATAATTGCTGAATCATGATAATCCAAATAGCGACAGTCTCAAACATTACATTTATTGTATATACTGTGGCATCATTTATGTAATTTCCGTCTGGCTTGAGTAATTTATGGAAAAAAAGTTTAGTCATAATTCGTATTGTACGAAACCGTTCAAATAAACATGAATCTTTACAAAGGTTATGCCAAAAATATACGACGACATTGATTTCACAATTCTTATGAGAATAAGTGTCTACACAAGGATAATGAAAAGTTTTATTGACGAAAGTACCAATTTATAAGTGATTTTGTAGAGAAAGGAAGAATTTATATGCATGTTTTGTCTACTTCAGATGTTTTCAGTAAAAAATATCGTTAAAACAGCATTGATCGTATTAAAGTGTTAAATACAGTAACGTTTATTGTCATAAAATATCAATCCAAAAACTTTATTTATGGATCAATATTTAACATATATTGTACTGTTTTTATATCTTTTCTTAACAAAGATAATTTCAAACTATACGTACATGTACACTGCCAACATTTTCAATTTCTGTTTGCAATTGATCGTACTTCTGAATAGTTTTATAATAATTTACTTCTTAAATTTTTATTAACTAAACAATCTAAACAATCTATATCCTAATATAAGTTTTTAATAGAGGGCCGAGTTGACCCGTGCCGAGTTGGTTTAGGGCCGAGTTGACCCTTTACCATAAAAAAACAACTGAACACAATGTCACTAGAAATTTTGTTCTCGCAATCACAATTCACATATTATCATTAAATTATGGTGGCTGATTTACGCCAGTGAGGACCCGTTGACTAACAGATGTAAACTCTCAAAAATCTCTGTTCATTTGTCTTGTGTACACTGGTTAATTATCAAAGAACAATCATAGAATTTTCACCAGTTTTTTTTCTTTTTACTTTGCATTTATTTTAATCAATATTTGTATGTTTTTCTTCTGTAAGCAATTTCCTATATGATTAAAAGTTTAATTTGTTCTAATCTATACAGTCATAGTAGCAAATGAAATTCTAAAGCAGTTTTGATATTTGCAGGGAAATAGAACAGAGGATGGCAGAAACAGTTGAAGAAAACAAAGTAAAGATTGAAATACCTCAGGGTTTGAAGCATGCAGCTAAAATAAAGTACTTCAATCCAAAATTAGCTATGCTAAGGTAAATATGATTTTATCCATATATTGTCCAGAAAATTACCTTTATTTCTAAAATGTAACTTAAAGTAGAATAAAGAAGGAATGAAAGGTAAAGTTTATCAGTGGAATTTTGCTGTCTTCTGCAGAATTTACTGCAGTTTTATTGTTGCCAAACTATGAAATACTTCAGTGAATGTTTTAACTCTTAGCATACTGATTCTACCCATGCAATTAGTGCAGACCTAAATTACCCAATGCTGTCTGATCATGGTCTGCTGTTTGCAATTCAGGCAGAATCTCTTTGAAATATTTCCCTAACAGTGATTTATGGTTTTGTCCAGATTGAAAGATGAACAATTCCATTTAAGATAGTAAGGGGTGTGGTGGGATGGGTATAAGGGTTAAATTTGCTATGATACTAGCTACAAATATTAAATACTACCATTCATATATGGCCCTGAACCCACAAAAAAAAATCAGTATAAAAGTATAAAAATGTCAGAATATTATGACCACTCTGTAGAAATTTATATTTCATTAAAATGACTACTTACAGAGAGGCTGTGCTTGCGACTGTACAAATAGAGGCAGATAAATTAGTTAAACCTCTGCAGTGTCTAGATGCTTTCTCAGGATCTGGTATGTCACATTTAATATGCATATTATGATATCATGTTTATAGCCCGTTTATATGCATAAGATGATATCATGTTTATAGCCCGTTTTATAGCCGATGTTACATCATAATTATTGTTTTATGACAATTAATATTTATGTATTTGTTTATTATATTTTGGACAAGACATAAAAATTAAATCAGGTCCAGCTGACTTCATGGTTGAGAAGTTACATATAAGGTCTCTGACTTCAAACCACTTGCCCCAAACTGATGTGAGATCAAATCCCACAGCCCTGATAGGGTTCTGATATGTAAAGAAGCTACATGTATTCAGCTAGCATAATGAAGGTTGGTGGTACTACATGTAAGTGCCCGAGTCACCTGGGTGTTTGCTGGTGGCTGTAATAAATCACAGATGGGGACTTTAGTTTATCTTCCATCAGTAAAACTGGAAAGTCACCATATGACCACAGGATTTTTCCCAGGATTTTGGGAGCATGACCCATACCCATGGATATGGGAATTTCAGCGGTGTTTTATTAAAAAATTGGGAAAAAATGCATGATTTAAATTTTGCAGTGATTAAATGAATGCAAATAATCTTTGTCTAGGATGGCATCTTTAAACATTTAAGCACCAAAACAGTGAAGAAGCCCTTATTTTCAAAGATTTTAGAAGTTGTGATTCAATATTTTTATTTTGTAACTTTCAATTGGGAATTTTTTCCTGTGGATTGGGAAAATAATATACTATTTTACATCAATTGGGAATATGACTGAATATCGGCTATAAATTCAGCCAAAAAAATCCCTGGACCATTAAATTGTCAGTGTGATTTAAAAACCAACATTGTTCTATTGTGCTGTCCTATTTTAAAATGTTTAAATTAATTTTCAGACATATTTTATTTTTTTTGTGTTTTCATTCAGGTCTGACAGGGCTTCAGTGGAAATTACATTTAGGGAACAAAGTGCATGTAGTTTTATCAGAGGGTACGCACATTAAAGAGTCATGTGAACTGAATGAAATGAAGCATTCTGATTGGTTACTGGATGCAACAAGAACTACGGGGGAGTGGCCAAGTGCTGAACAAAGTGAACAGGAAGTTAATGTTTGTCCCTTTAAAGCAAGCATAGTGTTACATGAAGAGGCATTTAATTTTGTGTATGACTTTTTTGTGTCGCCTTGAAAAGGTGACATATAGGGGTTACTTTTGTCGGCGGTGTCGGCGGCGGCGGCGTCTGTGTCGGCGTCGTTGTCGTTGTCGGTGTCGGCGTCGGCGTCCGCTAAAGCTTGTCCGGAGCATAACTCAGTCACTATAAGCCTGATTGACTTCAAACTTGGTATGCATGCTTCTTTCAATAACCCGAAGTGCAGTGCACAATGACCAGTACTCTGCAGTTCTTATTTTTTGAGTTATTGCCCTTTGTTAATTTTCATACTTTAATTTTGTCCGGGCCATTTCTCTTCAACTAAAAAAGCTATGGACTTGAAACTTTATAGGATGATAGATCTCATTAAGAAGAAATGCAGTGCACAAGAACCAGTACTCTGCACTTCTTAATTTTTGAGTTATTGCCCTTTGTTAATTTTCATACTTTATTTTTGTCCGGGCCATTTCTCCTAATGTATAAAAGCCATGGACTTGAAACTTCATAGGATGATAGGTCTCATTAAGAAGAAGTGCAGTGCACAAGAACTGGTACTCTGCATTTCTTATTTTTTGAGTTATTGCCCTTTGTTTATTTTCATACTTAATTTTTGTCCAGGCCATTTCTCTGAAAGTATAAAAATTATGGACTTGAAACTTCATAGGATGATAGATCTCATTAAAAAGAAGTGCAGTGCATAAGAACTGATACTCAGCATTTCTTATTTTTGAGTTATTGCCCTTTGTTGCTTTTCTTACTTTATTTTTGTCCTGGTCATTTTTCCTCAAGTATGAAAGCTATGGACTTGAAACATCATAGAATGATAGATCTTATTGATAAGAAGTGCAGTGTACAGAAACTGCTGCTCTGCACTTATCATTTTTTAGTTATTGCCCTTTGTTATTTTTCATATTTCATTTTTGTCCTGGCCATTTCCACTAAACTACATTGTTCACAAGGCGACACATCCGACTCGCGGAGTTCTAGTTTTATCTCATAATTATGGTAATATCTCTTTATCGTTAAAGTGACAATATGATAATCCAATCGTTGTCAAGTTGAGTAAAGTTTTCTATATATTTAAAAAGAGTGACTATTTTGTGGTTATTGACCATTAATTGATAGGTAAAAATGTTTAAGATAAAATATAGAACTGCCTTGAAACTTTTTATAAACTAAGTGTTAATGATAAATTCCGAAGAATATTGATAGAAATTTCCATGTGCCACAGAATTTTCTATGTGCCATGTTGGTTATTGATTATTTATTAAAAGAAGACTATGAAACTGAAAACAAATATGGCAAAATGTTATTTAAAACTTATTTTGACTTACCTGAACTCAAAGCCATTTACACTTGTATGGACGTAATGTCACTTTAATTTTAAAATCAAATTTCAAAAGCATGCCCTTTTTATCACATCTCTTAACACAATGAAAATAAACTTAATTTGACATTTGCATACATACTGTTTTACTATGGTGGCTGATCTCTGCCATTTCCTGTCTTCACCCAGAAAGTTAAAGACATGGTATTTGGCCAATTTATTGAGTCTTTATATCGTTTTGTCTCCAACCCGAAAGTTGAACCGCCGACATAATAATTCTGCAGAAGAAGATCTTGTGTTCCTTTTTTAAAAAGATTGTTATTTTGCCTAATATGTATTGTGTCTTCGTCCTCAAAGTCGATGTGAGCATAATTATTGTCTTGTCTTTGCCATCGACTTATGAGGGTCAAAGACACAAAATGGCAGAAACCATCTACCCTGGTTTTATACTGTTTTTGTTATGAAATGTTTCATGGAAATAATATATTACACGTAATTATGTAAAATATGTGTAAAGAAATATGTTATGGTGATATTACATGGAAAGTCACAGGATAAAAAATTGAACAAAAATATTACTTTTAAGAGTATTATAAATTTAACATACCAGGTTGATGCTTTATGTAGAAATATCAGCATTTTTATGGGTTTTACATTTTGGGTTTATGACTATGTAAAACTTAAATCATTGAATAAACTAGGAAGACTCAAATATGATTTTAAAAACATCGGGTTTTACTCATTTTCAGGTTCCTTCAGAGATTATTCAACAATATAGCTCAGTATACGGACTCGGTATTTTCAAACCTTCGACAAAATGGTGTTGCTTGTTTCTTGACTCCGAACATTTCAAGTGCGTGTTTCCGTTCTCCCCAGATCATTCAAAGGTTATACGGTGCACATACGCAGAAAACTGAGTATATTGATGAATTGGCTGTCAGAGTGTTCATAGCAGATCTTGCAAAGTAAGTATTTTATAAGACATTGCTAGGGACTAGATTCGAATTTAGTCTGACACAAAGTCAAAGCCGTGTTCTTTTGATAAACGTTGCCAGTTGGTTAAACTTTACTGGTTGGTAATATTATACAATGTACATGTAAAAAAGTCCAAAAACCAGTCAGTAGACCAGTAAAGTTGGCAACATTAAACATAACTGGAAAGTATGTGATCTGGGAACCAACCAGTTCTGTCCATCTAATGGAATTGGTTGTATTACTTAAATGATGCAGTATCACTTTGTTTGTTACTCTAAAGTCTAGACAGATCTCAGTTAATCTAGCGCAAAGTTCATTTGATACCGGTTTAAAACATTATTATGCTGAACGGCAAAGTTGGCACACCACAGCTGGGAATCAAACCACGGGTCTCTGGATTGCAGGTCCAGTATGGTGTAGTGGTTAGAGTCCTGACTGGGCATGCTAATTTTTTGGTGATTTTTCTGTATACATGTATATACCTTTATATTGTTTTTACCTATTTTGATTTAAAGCATTTTAAATTTGTTTCATACAAGAGAGCTGTTCTGAAAATATGGAAGAATAATGATTATAGTTATGATAATCAAGTACATGTCTATATTACAAGCAAGTCATCCCCTGTCCTGACCTCCCCTGCCCCACCCCCCCCCTCCCCCCCCCCAACAAAAAATATCTATTAAAATTGCTTATCTAAAAAAATCTTTGAAATTTAGAAGCAATAAGACGTTGCCATATTTGGCTTTAATTACAGTTTAAGAATAAGACTGAATGTCAACATTTATAAACTTAATGACAGGTTATTATGTCCCTATATAAATTGTTGTTACAGTTATATAAACAAGGCAATTAAAGATGATTAGGTGAGAGTTATACATTTTGTTTTGCAAACAGCCCTTTATATATGACCATATATAAATCCAGATCTTTGTAATAAGTCTATAGAACATCACTTTTCCTTAATATTTTGACAAATGAAAATGACTTCATTACTTTTGACGGAAACATAATCATTATATAAGCATAAATTGATTATCCGATGAAAATTGACCTTACAAGCATGAAGTGTTATAAATATTGTTAGAGCAGCAGCCAGGTACCAGAAGGGCATTACAGTGTTGTATACCATTAGTGACGAGGACCATTTCCTGGTGGTTGTCAGGGTAACAAAAAACAACCAGTCATCAATCTCATGTGTAGAGAACTGTCGACCTTTCCTCCATTGTCTGATGTGTGAAGAGAGAGTGGTCTTTCCTCAGACAAATTCACCAATAGGTCAGTATATTACATTCTCATAATGTCAAATTACATATTTGTTAAGTTTAATATTTAAGATTTATAAAGGAAGACACAAGTAAAATTTTCATTTTATCGTTTTGAAATTTACAAATTTTTGTCATTTGAGTGTAATTTGAGTGCATAAGATAATTTTGATATTTTGTTATTAATTTGCCGGAGTATCCCTTTAAGTAAGAAATACAATATTATCTAAGACATGTAAAATGTATTAAAAAATATTATAAGTGTAAGTGAGAACATCATTGTTCAGGACTCATAACTCTGGCATGGATTTAAATTGAATTGTGCCTCATTGTGAACTAGAAGAATTCCTGATTTTCAGTTTTGCTGTGAATTTCTATCTTCTCGACTACAAAAGATATTCATTTTAAACTTCACATTTGTTTTTGGTCATAATTCATTTTTGTAGTTTACTGACTTAGATTCTCGCAATGTTCTTTGTTTTCATTTTGGCCTTACTGATAATTTATTGTATGACAGAAGAAAATGATAATCAGAATAAAGTAGGTAAATTTTTACATTGCATTAAAAACTGTTCTAGTGTGCAAAGATAAAATCTAGAAGCATGTGAAGTAAGCAGATGAATATATATTGATGTAAAAAAGAATTCTTGAGAATAGTTTTTATATTTTCAGAAAATCCATACTCACTTTTACCATGTGAATGCAAGACAAAACATCCTGGGAAAACTGCAGTCATACTTGGCCCACTCTGGTAATTTTAATATAGCCACAAATTAGGGGGGAAAAATATATAAACATGGCTTCCACAAAGGATTTATTTTTATGCCCATTAACGGAAGCCCTGTTTAAGAAGTATTCAAAATCCTTTGTGAAAAACAATCGCATATTGGTAAAAGATTGGTGACTAGAAGTTGTTAACCTTAGCCACGCAGTCACAGAGGTTCTTGCATGCAGTGTCTGCACTGGTAGTCAAGAGTTTGACTGATCCCTGGGAGATGCTTTGGTAGTTTAGCACGGAGGAAGGTAGTCTAGTACTGGTGGAACTCTCCAGGAACGATGGTAAAGAAACTACCCGCCTATATGACTGAAATATTGTTGGGAAAAGGCGTAAAATGAAACAAACAAACAAACAAAACTGTCTATCTAGGAAACTACAAAATGTAGAAGCCATAAAAGGACAACCAGTCTGGTCAATGCATAAATCATTAAATGATTCTTTTGGCTACTCTGATTACATGCAACATTTATAGTCTGTGGCATGTAAAACTTGTCAATTTGTCTTAAACTCCCTCTGTGAACACTGGGATGTCTGCTCAATCCATCTTACACTTTCACTCAATGTTATTTACGTGTACATTGTACATTAATACTTATATTCTCTCACTCACTTATTTGCTCACTTATTTATTTGCTCACTCACTCACTTGCACAATAAACAATAATACGCTCACTCACACACAATAATACACTCACTCACCGACTTGCACACACTCACACAAAATTCCGCCCACTCACTCAGTCACTCACTCATTTACACTAAGTCTTACTGACCAACTCACTCTTCAAAATACTCTCACTCAAAAATGAAAATTTTGACAGTGACATGTTCAGTCTATATCTAGTCTAAGGAAAACCATCTGTTTCTTGTTATCTACTTTTATACTCATAACATGAGCAATGATTCATGTTCAGGTACTTTTCAAGTCAGAAGTGGTTAGCTTTCTATATTTTCAGTGTTTCCTTTTTGTATTTTCAGGGTTGGAGAAATATTTAGTATTTCTTTCATTGAGCAATTATTAATATGCACTCAAGATAAAAGCACAGACGTTTGTTTAAAACTAAGAACTCTTTTAAAATCCCTCCTAGAAGAGGCAAGATGTCCTAGTGAAAATGGAAATTCTGTCAGTTTAACACAAGTGAAAGAAGAGAGTAATAAAGGAGGCACTGTGGACCATTCTGAACCAGTTCTTAAAAAGCCAAAGTTAGAGAATGGAGGACAAAGTGAAAATGAAACACAGGAAAGTGTGACAATGTCAGAAAAGGTGTCTGAATCACAATGTAAACATTCAGAAATTAAAACAGAAGAAAACTGTACTGAAAAGAACCATGCCATGCCTTTATTCTACTACAATATACAGAATAAAAAATACAAAAGTTTACCGAAGTAAGTATATTCTTATTTTGTTTTGTCTGTTACACTTTCTTCTTGAGAAGGGATAAGCCAAGTTATAACACTTGACCATCATGAAATGTACAAAGTATGTATATATGCTGATGTGAGTGGCTCATATAAAGGGGGAGCATAGATTTTCCCATAGACACATTTAAAGTTGCATTTTAGCAAAGCTTTTTACATTTCTGTACTATATTGTATACATTGGGAACAAAAACTTTTGTTTTGTTGTTGTACCATTTTCACATTGGCCATAGCTTTCGCAGACCTGTTGGGCCCATCGCAGTTGCGATGGAGAATTTGTTGCAGAAGCAGTGGGAAAAAATGGCTGTCAGATAGTGTTTTGCTGTTGTTGGTAAGTTTATGACTGAATTTTACTTTATGTTTTAATATTTTACTGGAAACACCTAGTGAGACTAGAGCCCACATTTGTACTCTTCCAATATATTACATGCACACATTGCATATCATTGCCAATTACAAACACATCTGTACAAATAGTTGGCCTAGGGTTTGCCACTATTACCTTATTTTGGTTAAAAGCTGTACAAAGGTGAGCAGAAGGACCCCTTATTACACCTGCATCACATTGTATGTCTAGTACTTTCACAAAACAGTGAATTTCATTGAAATTTTGGAAATTGACATTGCCTTTTTATAAAAGAATTGACAAAAAATGATCACAATGCAGACGGCAGTGGATTCCATTGCAACGCAGTGCGATGGGCCCAATTCCATTTATGAGTTAAATTTGTTCCAATGCACTTTCAATTGAGAACAACCTTTTCTTTGACATAAGAGAAACATATCTATTGTGTCGCCTTGAAAAAGGCGACATATAGGGGTTACTTTTGTCGGCGGTGTCGGCGTCCTCTTGCCGTCCGCAAACTTGTACCTTTAATTACCTTAACTTTTTGAATTCTTGGTGTATTGTCTTCATACATAGCCACAACAACCCTTGGGACAAGACCTTTCAGTATACTAGACTAACCTTGACCGTTACTCAATGACCATGAACTTTAAGGTCAAATGTCAAAATTTTGCCACTTTTTGCTATTAGTGGCTATAACTTTATTATTTTTGAATGGATTTCTTCAAACTTGAAGATAACAATCTATTAGGATAGACCTTCAAGTGAACCAGACAGACATTGACCTTGACTCAAAAGTGACCTTGTCCTTGAAGGTCAAATTATTGAATATTTCATTTTTGCTGTAACTGGCTATAACATATTAAGTGGATTGACTTCATATTGTAATAGAACATTCTTTAGGATAAGATCTTTATGTACATGATGTATATCAAACTAAAATTGACCTTGGCTTTTTCATGACATTGACCCTGAAGGTTAAATTATTGAATTTTCTCTGGTTTTGCTATAATTGACTGTAACTTGGTAATTAGTAAATGGATTATCTTCAAACAAAACAACATTGTGGACAAGGCCTTTACAAAGGTTGAACTGACATTGACCTGGTGCTTTAAATGACCTGGATTGTAAAGATCAAATTATTGATTTTTGGTAAAATTGTTATTATTTTGTTATGTATGTACCAACTTGATTTAAATTTGGACAAAACAAGAGACCAAATGAACATATTTGATAATTTAGATGTGACCTTGACCTTTAATTGACCATGACTTTCAAGGTCAAATTAATGAAATTCTTGTTTTTTTCTACAATTTGCTACACTTGTTATTTATGAATGGATTAATTTGTTTTCAGTTTAAGACACAACATCTTTTAGGGCAGGACCTACATGTATTTTAAAATGAAATTGACCTTGACTCATGGATGACCTTCACCTTGAAGGACAAATTATTTTATTTTAACTGATTATCACTATAAATAGCTGTAACAATGTAATTATTCAATGGATTATTTTCATCCTTGAACAAAACAACCTTTTGAACAAGAGATTATATTGAACAAAACAATCCTTTTGAACAAGAGATTCTAAAAGGTTGAGCTGACCTTGACCTTTGAAATGACCTTGACCATTGAGGTTAAAGTATTGAATTTGGTTAAGTTGTCACAACTTTGTACCTATTTGATTCATATGTTGACAAAACAACGCTTGTGACCAAACAGACAGGTGGAATAATTTATATATGACATTGATTGCCAAATAAATGATTTTTAGCTCACCTCACCACAAAGTGGTCAAGGTAAGGTTTAGTGATGGGGCTATGTCCGGCGTGCGTCGTCAATTATTGGGTTGTTAACAGTCTAGCAGTCACAGTTTTGATTGGATCATCATCAAATTTTGTCAGAATGTTTGCCTCAATGAAATACAGATCAAGTTCGAAGATAGGTTTTCTAGGGTCAAAAACTAGGTCACAGGAGCTACAAATAAAAAAAAAGCTCGTTAACACTCTAGTGGCTGCAGTTTTGATCCAAATATTCTGGAAATCAGTCAGTTAGATTGTCTTGATGATTTCTAGGTCAAGTTTGAAGATGGGTCATACCCGGTTAAAAACTAGGTCACAGGAGCTAAAAATAGAGAAAGCTTGTTAACACTCTAGTGGTTGCAGTTTTGATTCAAATTTCCTGGAAATTTGTGAAGAAGGTTGTTTTGTTGACTTCTAGGTCAAGTTTGAATACGGGTCGTCTCAGGTAAAAAACTAGGTCACATTGCCCAAATATGGAAAAACCTTTTTAACACACTAGAGGTCACATTTTTGGCTCTATTGTCATAAAACTTTGCCAGGATGCTTGTCGAAGACATTGCTTGGATGCGTTTGATGGGTCAGGGGAGCGATCTAGGGCCATCACGGCCCTCTTGTTTCATTTTATTTTCTTAACTTTGTCATTTACGGTATTTATTTAAAGGATTCATAATTGGAAAAAAAAACTACAAGTGTGACTCGAGAGACCTATTAGAATTAAAAGAAATGAAAAACTTATTTTTTTCTTTAATTTTATTTTTACAGATTTGTTTTAACCATCTTTTTGTTTGGTTTAAGAAAAAGTAAAAAAGTTGAGCGTTGCCTCTGCCCAGCGGTGGCTCTTGTTTTATTTGTTTACAAAATGTCTGTGTGGTGAGAAAATGTGTGAATTAACACAAGGTAGTTTGACCATCTACTGTAACTGATATAGCTATAAATTTCTCTGACTCACCAATGCCTCTTTACCTATATATATATATATATATATATTTGTAGCTCACCTGAGCTTGCTCAGGGTGAGCTTTTAGGATTGGTGAATGTCCGTCGTACGTCGTCCGTCGTACGTCGTCCGTCGTATGGCGTCCGTCGTACATCCACAATTGCTTGTGAACACTCTAGCGGTCGCATTTTTTGCCTCAATCATCATCAAACTTGGTCAGGATGCTTATCTAGTTGAAAGCTCGGATGAGTTCGAACATGGCTCATCTCGGATGAAAAACTAGGTCACAAGAGCTAAAAATAGAAAAACCTTGTGAACACTCTAGAGGTCACATTTTTGACCCAATCATCATCAAACTTGGTAAGGATGTTTGTCTAGGTGATAGCTCGGATGAGTTCGAACATGGGTCATCTCGGATGAAAAAGTAGGTCACAGGAGCTATAAATAGAAAAACCTTGTGAACACTCTAGTGGTCACATTTTAGAACCAATCATCATCAAACTTGGTCAGAATGCTTGTCTAGTCAATTGCTTGGATGAGTTCGAACATGGGTCATCTCTGGTGACAAAGTAGGTCACAGGAGCTAAAAATAGAAAAACCTTGTGAACACTCTAGTGGTCACATTTTTGTCTCAATCATCATCAAACTTTGTCAGGATGCTTGTTTAGATAATAGCTCGGATGAGTTCAAATATGGGTCATCTCGGATGAAAAACTAGGTCACCGGAACTATAAATGAGGGTGAGCTTTTAGGATCGGTGAATGTCCGTCGTACGTCGTCCGTAGTACGTCGTCCGTTGTACATCCACAATTGCTTGTTAACACTCTAGCGGTCACATTTTTGCATCAATCATCATCAAACTTGGTCAGGATGCTTCTCTAGTTGATAGCTTGGATGAGTTCGAACATGGGTCATCTCGGATGAAAAAGTAGGTCACCGGAGCTAAAAATAGAAAAACCTTGTGAATACTCTAGCGGTCACATTTTTGCATCAATCATTATCAAATTTGGTCAAGATGCTTGTCTAGGTGATAGCTCGGATGAGTTTGAACATGGGTCATCTCGGATGAAAAAGTAGGTCACCGGAGCTAAAAATAGAAAAACCTTGTTAACACTCTAGCGGTCACATTTTTGCATCAGTCATCATCAAACTTGGTCAAGATGTTTGTCTAGGTGATAGCTCGGATGAGTTTGAACATGGGTCATCTCGGATGAAAAAGTAGGTCACCGGAGCTAAAAATAGAAAAACCTTGTTAACACTCTAGCGGTCACATTTTTGCATCAATCATCATCAAACTTGATCAAGATGTTTGTCTAGGTGATAGCTCGAATGAGTTCGAACATGGGTCATCTCGGATGAAAAACTAGGTCACAGGAGCTAAAAATAGAAAAACCTTGTTAACACTCTAGTGGTCACAATTTTGACTCAATTGTCATCAAACTTGGTCAGGAAACTTGTCTAGGTCATTGCTGGAAATAAATCGAACATGGGACATCTCGGATGAAAAACTAGGTCACAGGAGCTAAAAATAGAAAAATCTTGTTAACACTCTAGTGGCTACTGTTGTGATCCAAATATTCTGTTAATTGGTCTGAAAGTTTGTTTTGATGATTTCTAAGTCAAGGTCGAACATGGCTCATCTTGGATGAAAAACTAGGTCACACCGCCCAAATATGGAAAAACCTTGTTAACATTCTAGTGGTCACATTTTCGACTCAATTATCAACTTGGTCAGGATGCTTGTCTAGGTAATTGCTTAGATGAGTTCGAAATCGCATGTGAAACTAGGTCACCGGAGCTAAAAATAGAAAAATCTTGTTAACACTCTAGTTGCTACTGTTTTGATCCAAGTATCCTGGAAATTGGTCTGAAAGTTTGTTTTGATGATTTCTAGGTCAGGTTTGAATATGTGTCATCTGGGTAAAAAACTAGGTCGCACTGCTCAAATATGGATAATCCTTGTTAACACTGTAGTGGTCACATTTTTGACTCACCTGTCATGAGACTTGGTTAGAATGCTTGTCTAGGTAATTGTTTGGATGAGTTTGATAAGTCAGGTGAGCGATCTAGGGCCATTATGGCCCTCTTGTTTTTAATTTGGCCAATATTGTTCCTTTCCAAACATAAACTGCTTGAGGTTATTGGTATCTGAACAATAACTATTACATTCATAATTATTATTGTTATATTGATCTTATTTTAGGATATCCACATTGGAGAATTACAACTGTGTAATCTGTGGCAAGACATTTGCAACAGATAAAACATTAAAAGTGCACATCCAAAGTCACCAAGGGAACAAGATTCATGTCTGTGCAATATGTGGTAAAGGATTTACGAGGAAGGATGTCTACAACCATCATGTAAAAGCACATGACACCGAAAGCCCATCATATATGTGCCAAGTCTGCGGAAAGTTTTACACAAGAAAATCTTGTTTAGATAGACACTCGATCTCACACCAGCCAGAGAAAATGCCTGAATGTAGTATATGTAAAAAAACATTCACGACAAAATCCTCCCTCAGTAAACATTTCAGGACACATGAAGAAAAAAAAGAGTGCCCAACATGCAAAAAAATGTTTATTCATTTAGGAGACCACATGAAACAGTGTGGAAAAGACCCAACATTCTATCAGTGTGAAAACTGTGGAGAGATATTCCGGCAAAAGCGTTATCTAAGACAGCATACTCGATGCGTTCATAATAACCCAAAACAGTACGTGTGTCAAGCATGTGGAAAGAGGTTTAATTACAGGGCATCTTTGTATCACCACAAGAAAAATTGCACGTGACATTTTGTTTGGGTATTATTTTGTTCTATTGGCATTATCTTGTTCTTTGGATTGTAAAGTGTCCCTGATATTCCCTTTTAATTACATCTTAACACATAGTGCGCAAGAATATACCAAATAATATATTTTTAAAATGTCAAAGTATTGGACTAATCTTAACAAAACTTTGGGTATTTGGAATGGTTTTAATAAAATGTAAGAGCATTTAACATGAAAACTTAACCTTTATTTTATATTGATAAAAATCTTTCACAATGCTTTTTATAAAATGTATGAAAATTTAGAACTTTGTTAAAACTACGCTAAGATATTTATCATGAAACATCTACTAATGGGTGTCTACCATTTTGTTCAAATAAGGGCCCTTGGGTTAAAATTGGCCCCACCATTGGGATCATATTCCTTATATGTATATAGTAAAAACCTTAAAAAATCTTCTTTTGAAAAACCCAAAGAGCTAGAGTTTAGATATTAAGCATGAACTATCTTCTAGTGAGTGTCTACCAAGTTTATTCAAATAAAAGCCCCTGGGGACAAAATTGATCCCCCTAGGGGAGGAGGGGGGTCATTGTTTTCCACTTTATTTGTATAGTAAAAACTTAAAAAATCTTCTTAGCTAGAGCTTAGATATTTATCATGAAACATCTTCAAATAGGTGTCTACCAAGTTTGTTCAAATAAAAGACCCTGGGTTAAAATTGGTCCGCCCCGGGGGCCTATGTACAGGTGAGCGATTTCAGGGCCACCATGGCCCTCTTGTTCCAATTGCCTTTTGGTTCAATGTGTATATTTTCATGCTTTGATTGTTAATTCATTTTATATCATAATGAGCTCTTTCTTTGTGCAAACTGTCATTTTGGCAGCTGATTTCATCATCATCTAAAGCTCAGTAAAAGAAATGTTATTCCATTTTACAAAGTGTTTGCATTCTTTCAGCTTTGAATGATATCCTAATACTCGTCTTAACTAAGTGTAGGTCACTTTCATTTATTTCATTTTCATTCTGTACCGTAGAAACAATGTCATTTAAGCAAGTTTTTCTGTATAAGATAATGTGTTGGATATTTCAGCTGTTAAAATTTGATTTATATCCTTTGATACACTGTTCAGAGTGGCTAAAAGTTCTGAATCACCACTTCTCTACATTGCCTCAATGACGTTACCAGGAATCCAATAAAGACCATCACCTAATGAGTCACGATCAGTGTGACTAGCACTATCTTCAACTGTTCAGTGTTGATTTCAGTTGGAACTATTTTCTTCCAGTGTTTGGGATTTCTGATTTTTTTTTCAGAATTTTAGAAGTGCGTGATCAGTTGATGATAAAATTAAACCCTTTATATCTTTTTGTTTTTCAGTACCAGAGTTCCTAAAAGGGTTTTGATGCATAGTCCCGAAACATGACTTTTGATACACCATTGTCCCTCAAATGCTAGAATCTGTATATCAATCCCTGCCCGTAAGATATGCTCCGTTGCTGCCCTTAGTTGCAGAACATTGAATTTGTAATTTTTTAGCCCAAAAGCAACAATCAAGGAGTTTGGTAATTCAGGTGACCAAATCCTGTCCTTACTGTACACACCACGGATTTATATTACATAAATCCGTGATCACACCCAGACCATGACTTTGGCTTTCCTCCTGCATAATTGATGCCAATTTTTGAAATGGTCAATTATTGACTTAATTTTACTCATAGAAAATCTTCAAGGCTTTGTTCTGCTGCTGTGGGAGTTCATATGCTCAAAATATGGCGAACATGTATTTGAATCTTGTATTTCGTCATTAAAGCTAATCATTTAGCTGAGGGAATTTCTGATAGAAGTGTAATATTCGTTTTAGAAAATGAAAGCATTTTTTTCTTAATTTCAACAGTGCCAGGATGTTTTCCTGTTGGTCTTATACTCTCTTCTTTTCCATAGAAGGTATAAGAATGTTTTTCAACATTAAATAAAGATTTTCATCATAGTCAATTTAAAAAAGTGGAACTCTCTTTGGTGTAGCAAACAAATATCATAGAAAAAAAACCAAAACATTCAAAGCATTCGTGTCAGCCAGGCATTGACAAACGTAATATTTCATAATTCAATTTAGGATACTGGCATTTATACAAATATTTACGAGTATCAGTATTATCATTTGTACACCTACAAAGACATCCATCTGGTGAAACCGCCATTAAAGGCCTGATTGCATCTGATTCTCCTTTTATAACGTAACATCCTTCTTTCTTTTAAATAAATTCATGATGAAACATTCGCAAACATTTCCCTACTTAAAATAGCAACAGCATTTGGCTCATTTTCGGTTCCATGTTTGAAATACGATTTATCTTCTTGAGATGACTCCGGTTCTTCGTTGCCTAGAACATGAACATCAAAATGTTGTTTTTGAAGAGATAAAGTTCATAGGTCTAATGCATTGTGTAATATACTGCCTGTTACACAGGCAAGGTTGCGAATATCATACCATTCTTTGCTCCTTTGTTTTACCAATTCTGTATGGAAGGATCAACACTATCAAATTATGATTTTGAATCATTTAATTTACTTCCTATTGCACATATTTTTTTCTGTGTTTGAAAAAGAGCATGATATAAATCGTTTCACTTTATGAATAATAGCCTGTGTAGCAAAAATATATTTTGACGTTTTCAATGCCGGACTCGCGTTTTCTTTAACTTCTCAAGCCCATATTCTTGTTTCCTTTTTATTGTTTTAGCTTCTTCAACCCTCAAGTGTCTGTGACTTTAACGTTCAAAATAGACATAAATGGAAACGGGCCCATGGCACTGCGTTGCAGTCGAATCCACCGCGTCTGCGTTTTAATCATTTTTGTCAATTCTTTGATAAACAGGAAATATCCATTTCCAAAAATTCAATGATGTGACTGTTTTGTGAAAGTACTGTACAAACGATGCTATGACAGTGTATTTGGTGGTCATTGTCCACGGCTTTGTTTTTGTTATAACCAAAATTAGGCAGAAGTGGCGTACCGTCGTCCAACTGTACAGAAGTGTTTGCATAAATGACAATGACTTGCTCCCTGTGCGTAAAAGAAGTTGGAAGAGTACATATGTTGGCTCCCGTCTCGCTAGGAGTTTCCAGTAAAACATTAAAGCATAATGTTAAATTCAGTCATAAACTTACCAACAACAGCAAAACACTATTAGACTGCCATTGTTTTCCACCGCACCTGCGATGGACCCACAGTGTCTGCGAAAGCTATGGCAAGTGTGATTTTAATAAAAGGATCATATCTGAGTCATATTTTTGATTTCTGACTTATCACATGTTTATGTATGTTTCAGATTGGACAAACTGGTGATTCTGTTAAGGGCAGCCGGGCACCGTGCATGTAGAACTCATTTCCAACACCACGCTGTACGAACTAGTGCTAATCTCAGTCAACTTCATAATATTGTTCATAAACTCATCAAATAAGAAGAAAAAACAACTATGACACATATCCTAGTAGTAGTCGTTGTTAACTTTATGTAAATGGTTCAAAAAGTCATCAAATAAGGAAAACAATTCTATAGTTGATTTATATCAATTACATGTAAATGGTTCATGAACTCATTATAATTAAAGAAGGAAATCTAGTAGAAATCTAAGTTTACTTTAATGTTTACAAATATAGTGTTCACTTTATTGAGCTAAGATTATGGAATTCTGTATTTTATGGCAATAAAAGAAAGCCGAATGAAGTATCGTACCAGAAATGTTGTGAGCTGCAGTGCCAGTTGGAGCTGCAAGAAGTACTTCAATATTATCTGGGTTTTCATCTTCTGTCTGCAACTATCTCAAGGCAGTCTGATATACCTAGCTCTGCAGAAAGTAGTTTTAAGAATGCCACCCTCTTGTTTGGAAGGTCAGTAGGTACATATACCGTGATAAAGTAAGATTTAAACAAAGGTAGACAAGGAAGTCGGAAAGCTGCTTCCTGTGCAATCAGTTCTCTGGCATTCAAGAAAGCATTAGCACATGATTTTATCTGCTCTCGGCAGTCTTGATAGCCAATTTCTTTACATACATATTGAAGCACAGTAGGCATTTCCCTCTCAACTTTTGGTATGAAGGAAACCATAAAGGCAATGCAAGCTTATGGATCTTATCGATACTGTAAATCTAAGTTTGCTTAAACATATCAGTGCCCATGTGGAGACACAGCTCTGTAAGAGTGGTTGAGAACTCTTCAAAAGATCTGTGTAGGACCAAGCAAAATATCATTGAAGAAGCACTGCAATCTATGGTCAAATTGTCCGGCAGTAGTGATGATATTGACCGTAATAAGGTACGTTCATCCCATGTAAGATTTAATATTTCTTGTTTGGAAAGATTGTTTCCTTGCTGCCGTAAGATTGAATTAAGAGTGTCCAGCCATTTCGTATCTGCTGAAGATAAGGTCAGGAAGAATGTGAATATTGTAAACCATTTTATTGCTGACATAAGTTTGTACATTGCTTTCTGCCAGTAACGTGGTGACCCTCTAATCGTTTGTTAGAAACTGTAGGCTTTGTCTTGAAGAAATAAAGTTTTTAGTCTGTCTCGGTATTTTATAAAACCAGCATCAATGGATTGTTCTGTTGGCAAAGACTTGGATGTTCCGGACAGCTATTGACATCACTTGTTTATGTTTTGTAACATTCTGAGCAAATATGTACTTGTGTTCTTAGTGATTTAGAACTCTAGTATTAAAGTACTTATACGGTGTAATCTTAATTTGTCGATCTGCATCAAAACCAAAGCACCTTGTTGGAAATTATTGTGGAAATGCTTTACACAATACATGTAATATTAAGTGGGTGTTTCCATTCACCGAGTGAAATGCTGAAAATTTCATGAGCATTATCTGCTAGATGGACACATGTATCAAATTTGGTGATACAAAATCGTGAACAGACTCTGTATTTGAACTGCCAGAGTCGCTATATTTTGAACATCACAATGTGTATTGTCTCACATGTGTCTGTCTTTGGTAAAATGCTGCCAGTATTCCACTTTCGTCTTGTCATTTATAT